ACACGGAAGAGCTTGGAAAGCCGGACCAGTGGCCATTTTGCAAATGGACATCCATTTCATTAGATCTATTAAAGTCGGCCTTGTGTAGTTCGGACAAAGCTTGACTAATTAGGACGAATATGGCTTTTGACAACTTGATTCAGTAAGTGAACTTCACACGTGTAAAGCGTACTACTTGGTTTCGGGAGATAACTTGGACCCGGAGTGTTTAACATGTACTGTTTATTCTCCTTGGCGCCATCCTCAGTGGCAGTCAAACTTGTGCTTAACCAAGGGATGCATTTGTCTGCAATCTACTTGCTACTATGATTATATATTGCAAGCTTAAGAGAATGGGTTCAGTTCAGTAATTCCTTATGGAGGAAGTAGTATAAACAGGGAAAACACGTAAACGTCTTTGGTATCTTCTAATTCCGTGCTGCCACAAGGAAACGATTGATAGCGATTTAGAGTCTTTACTGATTACTACAGATTTTAGCAGTCGTTAAATTATTCAAAACACTGACAAACAGGATGGCAGACACTTTCATGAGACATAGGCTGATGAATCTATTTTTAGATACACTCAAAAGCTTGGCAAATGATTGCATAATTTCAGCTTATTCATTAACTTATGTTGAATGATACAAGTTCTTCACTGCTCACCTAGGCGCATAAATTTTGCTTTAAGAGAATGAACATGATAGATGCTTTCTATCTGCAGTGGTGTGTGGAGTGTGGACGAAGGAAACCGACCCACGCGGATGTCTGGAAACTAGATCATAAGCTGGATCATGTTAAGATGCACTTGAGCAATGTGAACAGCGTTGTGCGCTGTGGTAAGTTGAACACTAACTAACCGGGCCTACCTATCTAATGCGGTACAGGGATTTCCGATGTTCCGAAATATCGTAAGGCCAAATGCTAACTCGATATTCACTGGGCTAATGACATAAACGGAAATGTAGCATGAGAGCAGGGTTAAGCACTCCGATCACTTGTTCCAGTGTTTGGTACATGTAGCCGATATTCCGCGTGGCTTTATGTATGACAGTAATTGACCGTTTGGTTAAAGTTTTCCACAAGGAAGCAAATTTTATAACATTTAAACTTCTCTTTATGGGTACTTGAAAGTTAATACAAACTATCTGTTTGAATTCTTTGAAATAACCGAAGTGCATACATGTCGTTAAGTATAATGACCGTATGAATGTAAAGTTAAACGCAATGGCCAATGCTACATTGGTTATTTTTACGTCACCCTATGATTTGTTCATTTGTAGGCTTTCTCAATGTGTGCTTTGCCAAGGATTCTTTGGGTGTTGTCTACTCACCATAGTTGTTAGCATAAAATGGGTATTTCGACTCTTGGTCTTCCACGGGAACAAGAGTTCGGCAAAATGAAGGCCAAATTAATAAACCTCAGCGGACTTCGGGCACATGCAGTGTACCGTCGGCCGCGAGACGTGCTCCAAGTGGAAATACTAACTAATGTTTCAATTTGCTGGCTTCGTTCTAACGGTTGTGGTTTAGTTGTTTTCAACCCAGCTTCAATACTTTACTGTGTTGCCTGATTCTTCCGTAATATTTTAATGACTTGAAGGTAATTAGTAAAAGAGATATATTCGCTAATCGAACTTCCTACATTAGCAGGGGTATGAGTGAGCTGTGCTTGTGCTTATGTGGTAGGTTTTCGGTGCCGATCCTTGAGTGTTCGCATTCAGATAGGAATTCGTGGTATTCGCGATGGACAACGGTTGTCACAACAGTTAATAACTGATTGTAGCATCTCATTTGTTGTATCATTCTGTTGCTATGGAGTGGAACTGTTGGCAGACATTTCAAAAGAAACGGGTTTGAGTGGCAGCCTTGCCATATGAAAAGCATCGATTACGAAACCGATCGATGAAATACTTGTTGCGAGCTGCCAACACCCGAGATAGTATATCTGCTTCAGAGACGGTCTCACTGAACGAATTGGCCAGATTCCAATTCAACTTGCCTTGACGGCCTAATCAAAAACCGAGTATTGGAGTCTGTCCACGTAATATTTCCTTTGAACCAAGCTCATCCAACACAACACTTCAAACTAATACATTTTGCTGTCCGAAAGGTGGCTACCCCTATTAGTGCTCAGTTAGTTGTGAAACTGGCTAGGAATTCATACAAAATCTTTTCGCTTCCTTTTTGTACAACTTAATTCGCAATTTTCGACTAGAGGAGAGAAGATAGACCGCTTTTGGAGAAGAAAGCATACAATTACGGAAAAGATTACGCGCGTTGATACTGTTACTTATCGTGTCTCAGCAAATGAGATTTTTTGTTTCTTCTCGTGTATCTTGTGTCGCTAGGTAGTGAAGTAGTATATACTTTGCAAATTTTATCGTGAGAACCCTTGCAGACGTGCTTGCAAACAAGGCGGAGAAGGGTGAGATAGTGCACCAGACTGAAAGTGAATGACTGGATGAAAAACCTCTCCTTGTGAAGGTTGGAGTTGAAATAAATATTCCGTGCCACCGGGTCTGGAACGTTTTATTGACATACCTCTTAACTGAAATGTGATGACTTGAGATTGCTCTGGAGTCATCGGATTGTATATATAAAGGCAGCAATAAAGGCTGGCTGTTACTCTGTCAGTGTTTACCTGGATATTTTCGTAGCTAATTACTGATTAGTACGCTAGTCACAACCACATCAGCGGCGAGATAGCTCAAGCTATTGAGGAGGAAAGAAAACAAAGACTAAGTTTTGAAAATGCGGACTACAGATTAAAATAAACTTGTCCCACTGGCGAATTCAGGAGGACTAAATATTTGTATGCTTTCATCCGTACTTTCACTTATAACCTGACTGTCTAATTGTTTCTGCTTGCAAAGCTTAGACGATTTGTGTTATCAGTACTTGGTCAAATGTACACCCAGATCGGCTGCACAGCAGATGATTCAAGCGTTTGGCTAGTAGTCTACAGGCCACCATAGCAAGACTTCTTAAGTGGTGGTGACCTCAATGCATTCTTAGCCCCAAAGCTAGTACCGCTGCTCGCCTGGCAGCGAAGTTTCGGTACGAGTTACAGGTGTGCTGCCAAGCACTTCTATACCATCAAACCTGAATAATCGAAAAGTGAATGCGATCAAATTGTGTGAGTTTATGGATACATAAAATATATCCAACGCTATGGTGGTACAAATGTAGGTACTATTGGGTCAATGATCAGTGGTATAGAAGTACCAAAAGAGTAAGAGTGACAAGCTAACAGCAAGCAATCAAACAAGCAACAAAAGCAGCACATCAGCCATTTGAACTGATGCTTGGCTGCCATACGACCATGCTGACCTATGGAATGAAGAATAATAAGAGGGAGAGCAGGGCGGCTTGCCGCTAAACCTTGATTCCCTAAGCAAACACTCAGGGAAAAGTCGCCTACACCTTGTGTTCACAACATACCATCAAAAACAGCTGGCTATCGTGCAAAGATAAGACGGCATCAACGAGACAGCTTCCTTACGGCTTCACTGCCACCCGTCTTAATCAGTTATTACTCCGCAAGATAACTCAGCACCAAACACACTTTAATTAAACAATCCGGCTAGGAGACGGCAGCAAATGCGCCACTGGGGTCAGTTGGTGTTGACTCCGTACCACGTCCTATAAAGTCTCGAGCACAAGGTTACGTGGACTCCAACCTGGAAGACGAGACGTATCGACGGCACCAAGTTTGGTCGTCAGTAACTTCATTTCCCGCTGCCAAGTCGACTTTTGTTCACCTCGATTCTAGCGCCACCCTACTTCTGGCAGACTAAACATAACCCTCCTAGCTAAGCGGTAGTACATGCCCAAGTCGGCGCAACTTATTCAGTGCTAACAGCGAACAAAACCAAACTCCAACAGAAAAAGAATGCATGGAAGCCACTGAAGTGTGTGCCATAGGAATGGCTTCACAAGTAATGCTTGTCAAACAGCATTCAGTATAGAGTTTGAGGAAGAACGGAGCAGCTGGTTATCAGAGCTGATGCTTATGGCTAATTATATTTTCGCATAAGTAACCCCACAATTTGGGTTTCGCAATACTTATTGCAGACTAGAAAATATATCAAACGATATTGTACACATAAATGCAGCCGAAAATGAACTGCTCGTGGGTTTCTTATTTGCACGAAAGATACCTCTCGGATTAACTTTACAGCTGTAGTAGCACCGCAGGCAACAACCTGAAGTTGCACAACAAATGTGTTATTTCAAGTTGTTTTTTTGTCTTCCATAAAACGAGTTAGTTTCGTGAGGATAACCACTGAACACGCCAACAGAATAGCTTATTTTCAATGGTATGGCTCAAAACAGCAAAAGCATTAGCGGAGCTATTCGGTCGCATATACTTCGAAATGCTCTAGCATTGTGCTACACCATTTCCTTTTTAGTTATTTAACTGTTATGTAGTGTTCCTTCCTATGTACTCTTGTTTATTTTGCTACCACAAATCGATGCTTTTGTGGACTGCGTCTCTGCAAATGAAGAACCGGAGAACACCACTCACATTGGTTACCCGGATGCTGTGGTTCGGTTCCTTAAAATACTGGTAACAACCTGGAGATATAATAGCTTCTAGCTTATTTCCAGCCTGGCATGCATTATCTTGACAAATAAGTGCGATACATACACCAACTGCAACAGCAACTTGATCACCCCAAAACTTGGAACAGAACTATGTTCTACCATGTCATATCGCTTTCATCCATGTCTACATCCCAGATCTGCTTTCTAAACCTTTTCTTATTGTCTCTTTTTTCACTATATACGAAAAGGCTTACGTGAACGTAGTCCCAAATCTTTACACCTAAATTTCGTTCCCGGTTGAATTAGTGAAATCCTTCCACTGTAATCAAATTGTAAACACTTTTTGAATTGTATACTGCGGCTGACAATCGGAATGTTAAGCATTTCTAATGCCAATAATTGTGCTGATCAGTCAACTCGTTGGCCCATTTTACCCAGTACGCAAATGCCCGGCATAAGTGAAAAACTGCGCGATCGTTTCATGTGTGCATTGAAATGCAGTGAAACAGCACAGCTTCCGCAAAAGGTTTGAAGTTGGAATAACGTTGCTTACATAAGCAACGATTAATACTCAATGAGGAAGAAGGTTGGACATTTGCACGCAAAACAGTCCCAAGAGGAGAAATGCAATGGGGCGATTGAGGTGCAAGTAGATTCCCACGAATCGTTAAGTTCCATTCAAGCTGTACAGTGGACCGAAGATGTAAGGACAGTCGATTAGTGATGAACTACAGAAGGAGCACGACATTCAGCTGTCGTATTTCGAAGCGATTACAGCTCATCTTATACGAACATGCCGTAGATAGGTTGCGTGCAAAGGAGCAGCCGTACCGATCACGAAGGTCGTTGTCCCCCTTCTGGTTTTACGTACTGGGTAAATGTAAGGGAGAGAAAGATTTGAGAAGGTATTAGCTCCATTATTATAGAAGTAATTGACTGGATGTGACCTAACTTCATGCTCTGAAACTTGCCGCACTAGGTTTGTACATTTGGAAATATGTCAGCTGAGTAATGAGTTAATTCGACTATTTCGAGCATCCCTATAACAGCCAACGGTCTCTCACTATCACGTCGTCTTGATGCAGTCACCATTTAATTCTCCCATCGCATTCCTGATGCCGTACCAGACCTAGAACCAAGTGCGGTAACGTACGCCGGGATAACTGGGTTATACCAAAACTAAATGAGTGGTCAGCTACCCGGATACAATGCATGAATCCTTTACTTACATAACACCAATTTAGTGTCTACCCGAAGTGACGGTTATGAAATCTACCCCATAAATTGTTCTAACAGGAAATAACGTCGTCATCCAGATTTATGCAAAGGGATCAACTCGTTTAAATGAGCGAACGTGTGGGAACACCACGTGAGTACAAAATTCTAATTAGCTTTCAGTTACCATTACTGCTTCTGCAGGCTTTGAACTAGCTTAATCAACTTGGTTCCAAATGAGTAATGCCACAAAGAAGTGGGCCGTGCAGATAACGGAATAAGTAACGATTCAGTTGTACACCTAAGTTACCTAGCATGTGTAATAGACGCAAAGTACTGCTTAATTTATTTTGAAGGTTACTGCTGGTATCTGTTTGACGATTGTGTCATTAATTGTGCTGTCAAGGCCAGGTTCGGTTTGGAGAGCTCACCGAACGCTGGCCACCATAGAACGCGTGGTCTTTGGACAACAAGAATGAAGTAACAAACTCACTAATTACCCTCATGACCTTTGGATCCTAAGGCAATTACTACTGCTACTTAGCGAGGTTCGAAATCCTAATGAGCGGCTGAGCAGTGTTTGCATAAAGTTGACATACCATAACATTGCCCGGAAACCCAAAGAAAATGGCTGATTTTCTGGTATAAAATAGTGTACCTTTTATTCTTGGTTCGGACTATTAACGCAACATATGTACCTTTTCTTTTGTCTAAACGTGTCTTTTGATCAGCATTGCAGTTTAATGTGAATTAGCTGCAGATGGTCTATTCTGTATTGCAGCGGCTTGATAATCATTACAATTAAAGAATATGTTCCATCTATCGCTTCACCACTTAAATTTCATTTTCGAACCCTTACTCAGGATGCATTTAGAGAACGAGAGTGTTGTTACCTTGGTGGGGATAATATCGCTCCATTCAAAATTAGGGGCATAGTAAATATGTTTGCAAGACTTCATCAACTGTTCAACAATTAGTCCACCCGCGTGAACACAGCATGCGAAAATGCTGTTATTTGGGAATGATGAAAATATGGGTATTTTTGTCCCTCACTGCTGCGTGCTTCTTGAAATTCAATACAGGCATTTTACAAATGTTGATGGGACTTCCATTTTCGCACTTGAGTTAAAGTATACATTGTCCAACAGGCGTACCTGCTTCTTAGATACAGTGAATGGTTACTGTGAATTCAAGGTTTGTATATCTTTGGTTGTGAATCTGTTGAACTCCAAACCATGCACGATTCAAGACAGGTATCCTACCCTTATGAGACTTAGAAATTCTAAGTTGAAAGCCGGTACGGGACTGCTGAGGAATAACAATTTTCATCCACTTCTACTCATCCATAGGAATAGTGTACAAATTTCGCCTCATTAACTTCTGAGTAAACTTATTCTACCGATTCTTTTCAAGAGGTTGCTTTGGACGACGATGGTTTACCCACGAAAGATCTGCAAAAATTTGCTGTCTGTAGTAGGTTGTAATTGCTTCCAAGCAACTTAGCCTATTAAACCCGGTAACTTAAGGAAGGCTATTATTTTTCTCCGCATTGTCAGATCAGCCAACACGAAGTAGATTACTGTTTAGATGCGTGCCACTTGTTTCTCTGAGGATAAGGCATAACAACTTTTATAACTTCCCCTGTTTCTTCATTTTTCCCAATATCCGTCCCAAGTCGGTACTTGGAGCACGAGTCATCGAATGTGGTGAATGCGAATGTAGTAACAGTTTACGCTTGCGGTTTGTTACAAAATGCTGGAATTAAGCTTTTTTATCCAATATAGCAGCCGCAACAAGTAGTAGGGTGTAACGGCACACATTTTTCGCTCGTGAGAGTCAGTTAGCGGCCGCAGAATGCATAGATCATCAAATAACTCATTTCGGATATTATGCCTCTCTGGCATGTTTTCAATGGACATTCCGTGAGAAAAACAACAACCTTAAAGTTAACATTCATGATTTAATGCGGTCGTCCCTATTACTTGTAGTCTTTTACAACTCAAACTGGACGGTGAAACGAGCACATAATGGATAACTTTACATCTGATAAAGAACCCCGGAATAATGACCCGCTCTAAGTGACACTGGGAGAAGTACACTCCTTGAAAGCTACTCGTAGCCCACATTTGATCTACCGAATCTTTCAACCTGTTCATTGCTATCTAAATAGTGCGCAGTATGTCTCCGATGCAAAGTGATTACGTTATAAAATTTGTTAAAGTACTCCATTTTGTTTACATCTCATGTGGAAACTTAGCTTACAACCACTTGAAATTAATAAGAAGAGCAATCAAAAAGTGGACATTTTTGCTTCCAGAATTTTCTCAACTAACAAAATTAGCTTAGGACCTTAACTCAGCAATACTAACCTCGTCGTTTGGACTATAGTTCACATGGGATATTTCGGGGGCCCTATGAAGCGAATTGCAAAGCAACCACTTTCCGCTCATGTGACTTGAGTAAAATCAAGTTTAAAACAGCCCTATCGATACTAGTAATTATAAGCAAGCACATAAAATTAACTTAATACCATCACTTACAAGCCAGCCATCATTCGACTACGGATTATTTCGGCGGAGCTGTACGTCACCGGGCGCGTCCCCAGGTTGCAGACCGGGGAATTCCTTAACTGCGAAGTTAAATGTGAATATGTTTGGGCTGTTCGCAGGAAAGTTGAAAAAGCAGTCACAGACAATCAACGGCAACGTCCCAGAGCGAGTGGAGTTCTGGACTGATCAATTGGATCCTATATAAATACTCGAAAAGCTGGTAGGCCGCTGCAAAAAATCCGATGTGATCAGCTATGGGATCACTGACCACACGATTCTGGTCGCACAAGTGACTAATTAACGGAGGGCGGATGAACAAAATCGATACGAAGGCGTATGATTCACTCGGCTGTTAACGACCTAAGTGCTCTTCTGCAACTTCGATGGTCCAAGGAATTTCTCCTAGCCTGCGTGTTGCTTCCTTCGGTCTTTTTGGGCGTCCTGAATATATATATATATATATATATATATATATATATATATATATAACGCTTTATCAATAATGTTGCAATTGACTGAGTGCCACAACACATTAGAGAAACAAGAGTAGGAATAAAAGGAAAGCGCTTTTTAAAGGAGAAGAGTCTCAGAGCAAGGGCACCATTGATTACGGTCCTTGGTCATATCCTGGAAAGTCTGCAATCAGGTTTGCACCGGATCCTTTGGTCCCCAATCCGAGAGTAGAAAACGCCCTACAACAGCCAGATTTGACTTTTACGCTTTAACGCATTGGATCCAGGTTTTACACTAGCCTCCTTGTCGTCACTTCCATCCTACGCCCGACCTCACAGATAGAGCACTTCGTGGTAGCCGCTGGGCAGAAATGTAAAGCAGTACCCAAGCTAGCGTTGCCTTCGCTCTGAAATGATGCTGTCGATAGGTCGACGGGGTTTGTCAGATTTGAAGACTCGCCAACGGACTTCCTTATTTTTGATGTTACCATTTCTGATGTTACCATCAAACACCAGAAGTGCTTCGCAGGCAGCGGTGATCGGAGACAGATAGCCGATGGACATCACTTTTGCGAACGGGCCAAGCCTCACAGCCTACAGCAGAATAGCTGGTCCGGCAGCATAGTAGACTCGTCCCTTGAGAGCGAGGCTGAGGTCACGAATCAACCACAGGTGACTAAGGTTAGCAAAGGTTACTCTACCTTTGGATACATGCAAAGCGATCTCATCATCAAACCGCCAATAATAAGACAATTCCCAATGTAAATGAATTTGTCAACCACTTCCAGCGGATGTCACGAAAGAATGAGAGAAGCAGGTGCACTTGAGTATTTGGTTTCTGTTTGAAAGCTCTGTTGTTATCATCATGATAGGCGGGGGTGTAAATCAATCGCGCCGTTTCCTTGCGGGTCTGGTTTTTACGATCAAGTGCTCCGCGTGAGATCCTCTAAGTCAACCCACTACCTCGATCTGGTCAGCCGGAAAGCTACATGATCACATTAGTTACGGACCAAGATTTCAACAAATGCTACCCACCCTTTCTACTGTTTGCTAAGGCTACCCAAGGCAGTGTTGACGGCCGAAAACGTTATCTTGCGATCTACCGCACCACAGTGCAGTTATTTAATTTTACGATTGTTCAACTCCCACATCCATGGAAGTTAATTCCCATACGCTTCCGAGTCTAGGACACCGTGCTGTTTTAGACGAGTGTTTTTATCGTACGCAGCAGGAATTTAGGTCCAAGGGAGCGCTGTCAATAGTGCTGGCAAGAAATATCAAACGCACTGTTCCCAAGTCAAGCTGACCATCTTTGATGTTTGGAAGCTGATGCAGATCAGATCACAGGCAGCCCTTGCTCACACGCCTAATAATACTGGCACCGATGTCTTGTACTTTACCGAAACCCGATTAAAGGACCCTAGCGCGAAGCAACGGCTGATTTCCCGGTATGCTGGTTCTGCTGGAATATACACATTGCCCCTATTTGAAGACGCAATTACCAATCCGCTAGTCATGCTGGCGTGGGGATTGCTTCGAAAAGCGGGCTGAGGCCGCTCTACAATACTAGATCCTTGTCAAACAGTCGACTCCGCGCGATCCGTCTTCAGACCTCATTACCACTGTCCAGGTGTGGTGTCAGCAGACTTTGTCT